AAACTTATGCAAGGTGCTCCTACAATAGACAGCAACAATGGGTCAAATGCTATAACCTTTGAAAATGCTTACACTAAATTATTGTCCTAATACTCAACTTTTTTACCTCAAATCCATAGCCCCAACATGTTGAGAAAACTTTTCCATATCAGATATATGCTTCAAAGAGCATGTGGCTCCAGCAGCCCGGTTGAAGGCAGCAGCTAGTTTCTCCTCTTAGGGCGGTTAGTCTCAAGTCCATAGCTCGCAACAATTCATTCCTGTCAGTTTCCGAAGTTTAATTTGTACATACAGCAAGAGAAAATTGCTTGTTTAAAGATAAAACAACCAGTATACATACTTTGATGCATCTGATGACACAATCTCAACATCGCCCTATTACCACAAACATATTAGTTGCCAAATACAAATATCACCTTGGTATAGAAAGAAATTAAATACCTACGAACCATGAAGTTACTACCTTGGTATATAAAGAAAGGTGAAATTTTCTGGCTTCCTCCAATTGAGATATCTCATTTTCAATAGCATGAATGCCATTTAGTATGTCAGTTGAACCAACAATACGCAAAAATCTGAGACACAATCAGATTCCAGTAGAAGAACAGAATATTAAGATTTTGTTCTTCACAGGTAAAAACCAAATGAAAAAAGACGAAACATTTTTTATCACATCAACCTTAATATTGTTGCTTTTATGAACCATTGAGAAGTATCCTGGGTTTTGGTTGGCTGAAGTTTGAAGCTGACATGGGATCCTTTTGAACACAAGTCTCTTGGTTCAGGTAAGTGCACCATCAGCTGTCCCAATGAACCAGATGATATTTGTTCTACTACATTGTCTTTGCATATGCATACATCATACCTAAGACAAAGTTCAGAAATCTATAAGAAGATCTGAAAGTCCTTAGCCTACAATAAAAAAATTGATAAAACTGCAGAACCATAGCACTTCAAGTGATATATTAGCAAAAGCAACCAACAATAACAATAATGAAAATTACCGTCAAATGATATAAATAAAAATGGTAAAATTTCACTTCTCATATTGTTGATATTTTTATAAGCAATCCCAGATATTACATTTTAAAAAAACAAGAGATGATTTCACATTCACTAAATTATTAATGGTTTTTTATAGATATTTGAAAATGTTCTAAGTTATATTTTTATAAAAACTGAAAGGGTTTGAGAAATTGTTGAGCATTCAGAAGCTAAATCGTTGGTATCTAAAATGCACTTAATTAGAAGTAAGCAATCAAACATTTGAATTCAAATTATTTTGTTAAAACCCAGAATCTGGATAGGAAAGAATCTTTTGATATTTTAGCCAAATTAATTTTGGACACGTCCGGATCAAATTCAATTTTGCATTTAGTATGTGCCCATGCAAAATAAAAAAGATTTGGAAAAAGTTTAGTCATCATCAAAAGCAGATCAGCATTTGATAATCTAGTGGGGCCGGCAGAGAATTTTAACCTGTCTTGGGCAGGAAATAATTGAAATTCAGCATAATCAAGTGGTGCATCGGCGTCAATTTCACCCTCCATGTCAACCAGCCTACGTTGTAATCGCAAGAGCCTGAAGGAAAACAAAGAAAAATAAAGCCAAGTAGGAACAATCACAGCGTTCCTGTAGTAATGCTTCAAAAAATTTCCGACGGGGAAGATTCGCACAATAGTTTCAAACAATTGGATTGTTGGAATAAAATAATCAGGGGTACTAATAAAATTGGCATGAGACTAATCAATAGGAAGCACAAACCAACTAAATCCCTCCAATCCCCGATGATATTATGCTTAAATTTTAAATTAAAAAAAATGCAATTGTTGCCTTTTTCCCTCTATAACGACAGATTCAGGTGAAGTGTCGGTGGGTCAAAAACACCAGTCGACATATCAAATAGAACACCCACCGTTCAAGATCAGATCTAGCAGACGCAAAGCCCTATCTCTGAAATTACAGTGGTAATGCGAAGTCACCGGCAGCTCAAACAGTACTGCTAGTCACTACGAACTTCAAATCTCAAGCATTCCACTCAATAGCTTTGACAAAAAAATCCGAGTTGAACACCGCAACGATCTGGACATGCAGACAACAAAAATCTGATGTCAATGCCAAAACGAGAAATGCTACCAGAAAAAATAAATCCAGATACCCTCAATACAAGTAAGAGCGCGAGAGAGAAAGGACAGGCACTGGTAGGTGTAGGTGCTTTACCTCGATAGATCTCAAATTCGAGACAAATGGAAGCGTCTCTTTCTTGTGCTACCTTTTCTCCTTTCTTTTCTAACTAGAGAGAGAGAGAGAGACAGGGAGAGACAGAGACAGAGAGAGAGTAGCTCAGGAAGAAGAAGTGGTGGTGGAGTCTGTAGACGGGAGAGGAAGCGAGAGAAAATAGAGAGAGAGTGAAAGGGTGAGAGGGACAGCGACGGTTCAGAGTGTGGAGTGGGAGAGAAGGAAGATAAAGAGAGAGCGGGTGGGCCAACTTCGAGCCAAGAAGCGCATCACCGAGCCAAGGCCTGGTTCAGTGGGATGGCAATTTTGCCCTTATCTGCCCGAATCCGACAGTCCGGCTCCGGTTCCCGACCTTCAAAACCAGTTGGGAATATGATCATGCTCTCCTTGTTTGTCCTAAATCTAAAAAATTAATATATATTATTTTTTAATATTGTATATTATATTAATATATTTATTTTATTTTAATAAAAAATTTAATTTGAATATTATTTACCTATATAAGGACAAGAAATTATTTCAATTATGTGAGTCCGGAAAATTGGCTTATTTTTAATGGTTGACTTGAAGTGAATTACAAGTTGAATTGTAAAATAATTAAGCAATTAAATTAAAAATTACAAAAAACTAAATTTACAATCGTTAACAAAAATACAAAAAAAATATAAATTTTTTATAAACTTTTTATATTGAATATTTTTATTATTTAATTATAAATTAAGTCAAACAAATTAAATTAATAAATTATTAGATGAATCTGTCACTGGATTGGATTGTCAGTTTAATTGTGATAACTACATTCAAACGGTATTTATTACGGAAATGGGTTCGGAGCATTAACAGTGGCGACCCGAACCGACTCGACAGCAGCCATTGAAGGCCGTTGATTGTGGTGCATCGGGAAGACTTGAAATAAAAGACGAAAGCAGGACAGAATGATGAGAGAATGATTTTGCGGTTGCGCTGGGTCCACAATGGCGCGTTAAGTCACGTTCTACTCGAAGATTTTATTTAATTGAGTTGTTTTCAAAGCTGTTTGTGCCTGTCTATTTTACTTGTGCTCCTCGCCAGCAGACATAAATTTTGTTGCCAATGAATATTAACTAAAAGGAAAATAAGAAAGCACTTGTTTTTTGAAAAAATAGAAAGAAAATAAAATAAAAATATAAATCATTATTATTTTGATTGTAGAAAACGTGAGATTTGTTAATGAATTGAGTTATAAGGCGTTTTAAAATGATCAGAGAGCAATGATTAGGCTTTGAAATGATTTTCCATGCACGTTGAGTGCATGCAGAAGTCAAATGGACCAAGTAATTCCTTGAAATTTTTTCTTATAAATAAGTATTATTTTCCTCCAGATTAAAAAAATGGCAATTCGTGTTTGTTTGTGTTTCTGTCAACTTTAAATTTTACTAAAATTATTAACCATTTACCATAGAAGTAAAAAAAAAAAATCAAATTGTTACAAAAATAAATTATCTATTTGTTTCTCTCTTGACGAACTCTTGCCAACATTTTCTCTCATTTCCATAAAAAGTAGAAGTATGTTTATTTCACTGTCTTATTAAATCCTAATAGACCTTGGACAGTGGAAAATGTTTCTTGTATTTCTGAAATGGAGGGAAATACTTAGCAACTATTCATGATTAATAATGCAAGTCCAAGCCCAAGAGTTATCAATAATTGATGTTGTCTAGGCACTATCCCAGTTACCTCGTAGTTAATCAAATCAAATCATGAGCCGACTGCATCCTCTCTCACAACAGACGTCTCTAAATGACACATTCGAAAGAGTACAGGAATCTAGTATTGCCTTTGGAAACAGTTTTATGTTTTTGATAAACAAATATTCGATAACAAATTTAATAAATTCTTTTTTAGTCAAAACAATTTCTCCAATTAAAAGAAAACAAACCCATTTTGCTTGATATAACCCGAAAACAATATGATAACATCTGAACTTCTAGTTGTCACCAGACTGCCAATCATATATAGCATGTAAAGGCCATCAGTGTAGGCAAATCGTGAAGCAACAGTCAAAACTCAAGACCTGCCGCTGTTGCCACCCCGTCACGCTATATCTTCAACTTACTTGTACATTTACTCTTTACATTGACAGGCAGACCCCATTCGTGTTGCTTTTTAACCAATTCTGTTTAGTTCTCAAGTGACTCGCGCAGTTGCAAAGTGTGTTTGATGCGATCTTCAGACACACTGACTTTCCAACAAAACCAATTATGAAATCCGAATCCAGACCATGTCTACTTCAAAAATATTAAAAATCACAATCTACGGGAAACCGGGCTGTAAAGAGAACCTCAAAATCCAAAAGAAGTGCCATTTGCTAAGTTCCTTTAACATGCTCATTTCAAATTAAAAAAGGAAAATGACAAAGCACAGACTGTAAAAGATATCCACAGGTGGCGATTAATTACTTCAGAGATTTGTCATATTAGCTGACAATATGAAGTTTGTAAAGCACATTAGAGAGGAAAGGGACATCATCCCAGCTTACAACAGACCAACCCTAATAACAAAAGGGAAGAGATTCTCTAGAAGGAAGAGGGCACAACAATTATGCCCTCAAACGAATAAAAGAAAGAAAAAAAAAAATGATGAATGCAAGCGACAAGGAAAAATTAAAAAAAAAAAAGGAAAAAAAAAGCTGAATTACTGAAAAGAAAATTTAATAATACAATTGTAGGTGATTCTTGCAGCGGGAAGCAGAATCTGAAGAGACAAGAGAGGAGTTGCATACTTCAGTTAGACCATACATGCACCAGGCCATGTCTATTACCAGTGTAGATCTCATTTCGCTCTTCATCATAAAAGAGAGCAGTGATGTCCTCAAGGGCTTCTGCAACAGTGCTTCTAGTCCTGGAAGCTCGAATCCGCTTCTTTGAGCTGCAAGTTCTGCCGCCACAACATGAACCACAATTGCATTCATCAATAGGAAAACCATTGCTTGCTCGTATTTTAGCAAGGCATTTTCCGGTCAAGATATTGCTGATATTGATTGATCCTGCAGAACAATCAATGCAACACTGTTTAAAGAGATGAAAACAAAACAGAACAGAAGATACATGAAGTCACTTTGGAATTAGACAAGTTCAACCAATAAAAGCAAACTCTATACAGCCATTGAATGAATCTTCCATGCAATAACATCATCCAAAGAAACATTTAACATATCAAACTCTTAAGATAGGAGATTTCATTCTTCAGATATGTTTGGCATCAGACTGCCAATGGTATCTGCTTGACGTATAGCTTGATGCACATCTTCTATTAACCATTCTTAAATGTCCAATGTAATAACAATATTGCTCCATCCAATATAATTATAATATTCAATACTTTTTACTAGGTGCTTTACCATTTCCTTCTGATAGTGGATCATCTGAATCAGCCTTGCAGTAAGAAATTATAAGATCTTGATCACTTGTGATATATATGTTGTTTGTGTTGCAATCAGGATGCCACAAGAGGTGATCCTCAAATGAGGTTACAAGCTCTCCACGGAAGTTCCAAACAGCCACGGTCCTGTCTCTAAATGTTAGAAACAACTGGTTCTCATACAGAAATATAAATGCTGATGGAGTCATAAATTCAGTCCTGCTAACTTCTGTTAACCCGGAATTGCAAACCTGCAAATAATTAAAATCAAATATGAGATCTACAGTACCATGAATGTATTTTCAAGGCAATAAGAAATATCCTTACATCAAGAATCTGGAGGTTCTCATTTTCTTGCTTGACAAGAAGCTTTTCATTAAATTGTTCTATGAAATCCACCTTCTTATTCCGATGGAGGAGATGATTGAAAGTCTTGAGAACTGTACCATCCTCGATAGACAGAATCTTAAGAGGAACATGACCACTGGCTTTGTTGAAAATCAACAACATGATGCCTGGACTATTCGTAAGAAAACAAAAGAAAAGGAAAAGGAAAAAGAAAAAGGGTAAGCTACATATGCAATGCCTGAAGCAATATCACTGACACTGCCTCTAGAAAATCATCATTCCAAGTAGGACACAAACAGTCAAAAGATTTTAAAGTTGAACCAAAAGTACAACACTATGCACAAACCTAATTACATATTTCATAAACAACACAGCAACAGTTATTACTCAAACTTTGTCATAATCCATTCACAAAGGCACCATATAATCGAAGTTGAAATTTCCAATTAAATTACCATGTAACCTTAATGTCAATCCAAAAAATATGTGCATATATATTTTTTCATACATTCAAGTATTGTGTTATTAGCAATATAAACTCCTTCAACCATGCTACCAAAAATTAACACAGCTGCCAAACTACAGATTGTAATGAGTAGATTTATTCTCTAACATGCTTCACATACTAGCACTAGGAGCGTACACAAGAATGATGCTCCCACTGAGAGTTGACACCAACATTTAATACTTATGTAATCAACTAAATTACTGCCATCAATCATAAATGTCAAATTTATTTTCAATATTGCCATATCAAATTACATGGAATGAAATGCTCTACAATTTTTCAAGCCTCATCATGCATAAAACACAATATAAGAAATAATCCAAATTGGAACACTAAATAAAGGTATAGGAACATAGCTAGTCCATTATCTCTTACAACAAATGAATTCAGGCACAAATCAGAAAACCAAAACATGGACTACCCCTAAGAAACAAACAATATTCCAAGCAAATCAACAGTATGCTACGTCCCTAGTTCAGTGAAAAGAAATTATAAAATTCGAAGTTACTGAAGCAATCTAAGAGATGTGGTTAACATGCTATGGGGCATCCCCAAGAATGTATGTTTACAACAAAATTTTTTTGGCCACACACATTCAAGCTCAAGTGTCCACTACGTATTCAGATAAATATGCTAAGAAGAAATACCTGATCTTAATCTCTTGGACATTCTTGTCAGATATAGAGTACAACATCGTATAGTTTTTTAAGTCAAACACCTTGTATACACTGATGCAAGATTGGAATGAAATATACATCAGAATCAAGAAACAAACTGGGCGGAAGCAGTCAGGAATGCAAGTATGAATAACTAAAGACTAGAATTTACCTGTCTTGTGCGGAATAAGTGAGTACCTTCCCATTTACATCATCAAACTCTACAAAACCAGGCCATTTCAGTGATTCAGACTCAAAAAGAGCAAAGCCCGCATCTGGCTTACCCCTTCTTATATACCTGAAACCGTTTAATAGTAGCCTTATTATAAACGAAGCACACGAATAAAATAATAAGAAAAGAAACATGAGTAACTGAGAGTGCAGTTCACATACTCAATCCTTGTGGTTCTGCATTTCAAAGAACTAAAATTGTCTGAAGCATAAACTGAGACCGTGATAAGAGAATCATTATTTTTATTGTAAAACAAGCTTCTTATAACTTCATCAGGACTGATATTCAAAAAGCATATCCTCTTGTTACTCTCTGCAATTGGGAATAGACAAGTTACATGCTGGTTGTTTTAGCTATATGAATAAAGAGAAGTGCAGATATTCATTAGGACCATACCTCGACTAAATGCAGCACAAACACCAGACTGTGCAAGAGCAAAGACAATATCATGCGCAGCTACAATTTCAATAATTTTTGACCTCTTTTTGAGAAATGATAACACCAAGCCACATTGTCCTTTAGGATCATGGGTGTCATATTCCTCCTGATACAATATTTATTCAAGTTATTGCAGAACGATATACAAGAAATTCATAATGTTAAGGCCAAGACAAATACTAGAGAACACTCTCTCTCAGGTGAGAGAGACATTTTAGGCAAGACATGCTCAAAACTAATGCGCAATATCCCCTAATGTTTACATGAACTCAGTCACAAAACTTGATTCTGCCCTGAAATTTTGTTATATGATTAAATGAAGGGCAGGTCAGACATAATGTGTTACCAAGTCTTCCTAAGAGTATCCTTTAATCTATGACTATGACATTCCAAACTTTATTCGCAAAATGCAAATGTAAAAAATATAAAACTTTAAAAAACCGCCCTTCCAAAACCATCCCGAACTCTATCCTCTTCTCAATCAAATGCTCACTTTTTCCTCCTTCCATTCTCCATAGAAAATCAGCTTTAAGTTATAGCAAGGAGAAAGAATGATAACACTTCCCCTGTACATCAAATACGCAACTGCTACATATTTAAGAACATCAAACAACAAACCAAAATGGAGAACATGAAAATAAGATCATACTTTTGACCACATAAAGCTGCAAAGTTTAGGAGTACTCCCCCTCAAAAAAATATTGTCCTTACAAAGTTGCACCACACAAAGAAACAAGTATATATACAGAGGAACATCAAAAGCAACAAGGTTAATAACAGCAGCTATTGAACTCTTTTCTTTAGAATCTATCAAAGCATGCAAAAACTACTTTACAAACATGGATTAATTGTTCATAAAGCATATAGCCAATAGGCTCAATACAGTCTACTTAATCTTGTAGGATGAAATGGATTTGGAGGATCCACATAGACAACCCATCTAGATGCAATGAAACTTAGGAGTCGAGACAAGTACACTTGATCTATTTATAAAACTTTATACTATCCAATTACAATAACAAACAATTGCTACAAGGATAAGTAGTTCAATACATTGCGTTTATACATAACTATATTATGCCACTCTAAAGATGTAAGAGATAAACTCCAAACAATTCCTAGCCTTGCATGCCAATATGCCCCATCAAACACAACTGAAAAAATAGAAAAGTGACTGCTTGAGCTATTAACAAAGTCCAATTCATTTAAATAGCTCCAACCCATTTTAAATAACAAATATTTTGAAATTCTCCCATCTTGGCAGAACCAGGGAAAAAACTGGAAGCCATATCAAGTTTTAAAGTTGTCATGTCAGTCTCCTATTAGAGGCTGGCAAAGAGTAAATTTTATGTTTCTTCACGGCTACATTGGGATGCTGAACTAGAAACCCTACTTGAACTACAGGAGGAAGGTTATAAGTCAAAGTGTGTTGCAGCCAGCCCACTGATAATTTAAATTTGGAAATATAGGAAAGAAATCCTCCGATTATCCACCCCAGCAACAGTCAAATGTCAAAAAAATAACACTTCTTGCAATAAATTAGATATTTGAGGCTCATAACCACCCCCACCTACAGATGAAATTATACATTTTTTGTTGCAATATAATCCTGCCAGCTACTCTCACACTGAAATAATTCCACCAATGTAATTTGTGCCTTTGCTTGACAGGCCACAATAATAATAGCTAAATTGAACGCAAACCCATCTTGCAAGAGCACCCAGTTGATACGCAAACGTAATGTTTCACGCATACGTTCTAGTAATTGTAAATCGCAATCCGGGCCAGGAAGAAGGACAACCGCAGTGCATTAAAACCCTATTGTTTTCAAAATCCGAGAATTGGATCAAAACCTAGAATTTTTGGCATACTGCAAACACTCAAATACAAATTCGATTTTTTTATGTGTGATATTTATTCATGGAAGCAGGAAAACAACTAAACGGAATTAAAATGTTAAACAAAATCGAAGCACGGTCTGACCAACCTGCAAGCGAATGTTCCTGAACCTCTCCTGAGCGTCGCTCATACTGAAAGCACGGTAGCGCCTCGAACAAATCTCCCTTCGCTGGAGTTTCTTAACGCTGTTGACGAACCCATCGACGCCACTGCGAGGTCGTTTCTTGGCCACCACCCGATAGCCACAGCACGGTCGAGGACTCGCAGTAATTCTCCGACCGTCCATTCAAAAATCCGCAATATCTACAATCAACCAAACGTCTACGGGGGCTCTAAAACACCCAATATATGGAAAATTCGGAACACATACGCACTTATCAACGTCAATTCACGCAAGGGCAAACCACCATTACCGCAGAGAAAAACGACCTCAGCTTAGATTTCAAACTCTTCACAGAATAAACCCTAAATCTCAGAACGGGATAGTAAGGGGAAAAGGATTTCTTCTACCAGCAATTTCGACAAATTTGCAGAAAATACCAACCCGAGGGCGAAATATGAAGGTAACCCTCCTCTGTCCGCCCTATCCTCCCCTCGTCTCGTTCCCTTTTCACTATCAGAAACCTCCCTCTGCCAATCACTCTCCCTAGACCCCTTCCCCTTTCCCTCCCCCTCCCGGTGCTCCTCGCTCTAGATACGAATTTTTTGAATGGGCCCTAATTGAATGTAGAAATTTTATGTCGGATTTTATAGAGTTTGGCGTCCGAGTCCGATTCATTTCAAAATCGCATGCTGACATGTTACGGAGATCCAGCCCTTAACCGGATGATGGCAAATTTTCTCTTATTCGTTTTTTTTTTTTCTGATTTTGGTGGGGAGGGGGATTGGGATTGAACATTATTAAGTTGAGATTATTTGTTAGATTTTGAAAAATTGTCATGCTTGTATTTATGTTTGAAAAAATAAAATCATCTCGGGCATAGTCTTTTAGAAAAAACTGTTTTAAGAAAACATTTTAGAAAAAAAATTGTCATTTTTATTATAATCCCTTGTATATTTAATTTCTAATATTATACTTTTTACAAAACATGAATCATATTTTATCTCTCAAATATTAAATTTATAATATTTACACTTAATTAATATTTTATTAAAATATTTGTTAAAAATATTATTTTTAAAAAGTATAAATATTTTTCTCCATGTAAATACTAACTAATCTTATCCTATTTTAATTATTTACGGTCATCATTTACACATAAAAAATTTTATGCACTGTAAAAATAAAATCTTTAAGAATGTCATTTAAAAAAAGTAAGTACTGTAAATTTAATATTTGTTGGCAAAAAATTTTTTTATTTATCTATTTATAAATTGTACAATACTAAAATTTAATTTTTTTTAACGTTGAAGTGCTATTTGTTCTTCTTTAAAAAAAAAAAAGTTACTTTTTAAATTTTAAAAAATAATTAAAAATAAAAATATATTATTTTTCTTTCTCCCTTGGTTGGGAGTTTTAATAAAATTTAATTTTTATTAAATTCAATTAAAATGTCAATAAACAAATAATCAAATTCACTTTATTTAAACTCATTTTCTATAAACTTATTTTGGTGTAACTCAATTTTTTTAATATAATTTTCCTATGCCTGCTTAAACATATAATCAAAGAGTCATAGTTGTCTTATTTAAACTCATTTTCTGCAAATCTTCTTTATCTAAATTTAATTTTTGTAAATCCATGTTACCTAAGAGTTTTCAATATTTTTTAGTATTGTCCTTGAAAAAATAAAAAGTTAGCATAGTTTAATTTAGTTTGAAATTTCACTAAATTTGGATTAAATTCAAATAATTCAATTTGAGGAAATTCAACTTTAAACCAAACCAATTTATAACAAAACCAATCCCACCCAAACCCCTTTTTTCCATTTTTTTTTGGTTTTTAATTTTTTCAACTATTATTTCTAAAACCATTTTCTTATTACCCAAAATACTTTAATCCAAATAATTAATTCTAGAATGCTTCATGTTCACTTATTAAGTCCAAAAAATTAAATGTAATCCAAGTTGGATATTATTTCTGATTATCTAATTTATTTTAACTAAACATAAAAAAATAATTCACAAATAAACTTATGTTACGTCATTATAAAATAAAAATACAAAGCTGTCCGGGTAATGAAAAAAGGCATAATTATATCTCTAAACTTACGACTTCTATCCACCATTAGATGTTTCACCCTATGTTTTACAATTTAAACAGGTTATCAAATTAGGAAAATTATGAGATCACAATTTTAATCTCTTTAATTATCAGTCAAACTAATTAATAATAAAAATGTTTAATGGATAAATAAATATTATTTAATTACAAAATAATAATAATTTTAATCTCATGATGAATATGATATAATTTAAATTATATAAACTTAAAATACAAATTTCAAATTCAATTTGAGACTTCAATAGAGACCTATTTTTTTTTATCTTGAGTTATTTTAAATTAATTTTAACAAATTGGTCAAAAAATTTTCTTAATTGATTGAACTAATTTGTTTTTTAGTATTATCCTTAGGAACATAAAAAGTTAACATAATTCAATTTAAATTGATTTTAACAAAATGGTTAGTTTAACAAAATATATGATAAAAACCTATTATTTTAGTTTTACCAATTATTGACTGATTTTGACTAATTTTAATTAGTTGAACTTTAATTCTAATTAAAGAATTTTAGTAGACCATTTATCAAGTTAGAGTCATAGTTAAACCAGTATAACCAAATGGTGTGATGCAAATTTTAAAACATTACTTCCGACAGTCATTTTTTTTTTTTTTTTACCAACCATTAAATGATGATCTGTTCCTGAACGCTTGTGTAGCCAACACGAATCCAAATTCCAATAGTTAAAGGCCATGCATGACTGATCTTGAGAGATCTTATTTAAGTTATCTACATTAAAAAAATGAAAAAGAAAGTGACCCTTTTCGTTTCGGCTTAGCAAGGCCCATTTTTTTCCCACCAAGCCCTAACCTAGGCAAACCAATCAGTCCATCGTGTTCCCCATTTTTCTCTTTGATTGTCACCAGCACTCTCTCTCTTTCCATTTTTGAACTAAATTCAGGTGGCATCAAAATTTTATATTCCCTCATTCTTATAATTTCCCTTCTATCTTTAATACCACCCAATAAAGAACTCCCACCTCACAGCCTTTATGTAAACCTCCGGTCCTCTTTCAACAACGAAAATGATGGCAACATAGGACGAAAATATATTTCTTAAAAATCTCAAAAGAGTGGCACTGCCACTACTAACGCCAATGCCACCGTGATTGATCCCTTAAAAGTAGGAGCCAGCAAATTAACTTCGTATTTGAAGTCATTGGCGTATTGTCATTGCTACTTACCGAGTCATAGGTTGGACACCTTTTCCTCGATTCCTACAATTTTAGGTTACCATTAATCATAATTTTTTTTCCTAATTCAAATAATATTTTTGTAATTTAAAATTAACAACACACTCCATCTTCACGTAAATAAAATATACATGTACTCTACTGACAGTAGATGAAAGACAGTTAAATTACTACAATCACTTTTAAATATATATGTATTTGAGATTTCAAATTTGAAAATATTTGAATGTTGACCACTGGCAAGCGCCACGACTAGTGGTGCTAGGATTCAAACCCAAAACGTTGACAAATTCAGATTCCCACCCATGGTGGCCTCGCCGCTTCTAGCTACAGAAGAAAATAGCATCACTCACACCGCCTCCACCTTCTTTTTTTTAAAAAAAAAAAAAATTAGTTCTCGTAAAATTTACTTTCGTAATAAATTCATTTTTCGTCGATCGGCTTTTATATAGAAGTACCAGCTTGTAAATAAAAATAGATTCCCTAACAACTTATTTTTATATAAAAATTAATTACCTGAAAATCAATTTTTATATTATAGGTGACGTGAAACATAATAAAATGATTTTTGATAAAATAAGAATGAGAATGAAAATAGAATAGAATTAAGATTCTTATAAGTATATTTAGTGCCCGTTGATTGAATGAAGATTACCATTTTATCATTATATTTAGTATATTAGAATAGAGAAAGAAAAATAAATAAAAAAATTTTTAAAGATAAAAATACTTTTTGTTATAAAAATTTAAAAATTTAAAAAAAAATTAATATATTTTAAACATATTTAAAAAAATTTAAAAATAATTTTTTATTCTAATATTAAAATATTAAATTCATATATATATATATATTTGTATGTGTATATATAATAAGTTATATATATTATATAAATATAATAAATGATATAATATATCATATTATACAATTTATTGTAGTGTGATATAATATATTAATATATAATATTATAAATACTTATAATTTTTTATATTTATAAGATATTTTCGCCATTTAAGTAAAAGGTAATTTAATAATTAATACTTAAATAAGAATTTCATCAGCAAATGGAATCCGGATTCTATCACTCTAGTGAAAGAATCCGGATTCTTTCATTTGATGGAATTCTTGTCCTCTAAAAAATAAAAATTCTCATTTTAAAATACATACCAAACATATTTTTTTGACATTATCATTCCCTTTTTCATTCCCTCAAAAGTATTATAACGTACTATTAATCACCTTAATTATTTTTTTTACATAATTTAGTAATTAATTTTATTTATATATATGTTAATAATTTATATATATTATTAATATAAAAAAGTCCCTTAATCAGTAACTTAAAAGATAATTTTCCCCATAAAAAATTTGGACCGGTCCATTCTTACGGCACTTTTTGATTCGGGGGGATTTTGATGGATGAACAATGGTCACGTGCATTCAAAAGTTAGCTGAGCTGTATTATCGCACAGAAGTCATTATCATGCGGCACTCTCCGGCCGTAATTAAGCCATTATGTCATTGTCCGTCTTGTCACTCATTCTGCTAGTTTGGTTTTGTTTAAGCAAAGAAAATTTTAACTAAAAAAGTCAATTGAAATTTCGACCGGAAACTTCCCACGCCTTCGGTGGTTTGCAACTACCTTGGAAATATAATTTTCACTTTTTTATTCACACAGCCACTTGTAAAATGTTTTGAAATTTACTTTTAATTTTTTATTTTTGATTTAAGTAAAAATAAAATTAAAAATAGATTATAAAAGTATAAAAGATAGATATATATATTTATTTTTAATTGAGAGGGGTATTATTGTAATTAAGTAGAAAATGTTTTGAATTTTTTAAATTCAAATTTATCCCATGTAATTTTTTAA